TTTTTCCTTATATCTTTTATAAATTTGTCTGTATTCTTCTATATTAGTTTAACTTTCTCTTTATCCTTAAAAATTTGCATGATGCAACACAAAAATTCGTGTGGAGACAAAAGACGTCTTATCCACTCAACGATCAAATCGCTTTTTTGAACAGTTATTAAAAATCAATAGGTTATGAAATATTTTGCACTGCATATTCTGACATAAAATATAAAAAAATATGTTGTAAACTACTCATTTTTTGATAACCGTATCTAATATTTAAAAAATTTTTATACATAAAGGAATAAGACAAATCGACTGATATAGAGAAAATACATAAATGATATAGAGAAAATACATAAATGTTTTTAATAAAAAAAATATATACTAGCATATTACTGATGGCATCATTTTTTAAATTAACTATATATCTATAGTTAATTTACGATGATTAATTTGTCTTATTATTCTATATATTAAACTAGCTAACTGACTAAAGTTGCGTTCTGATATTTATTGCTAGTACTAAAAATATATAGTTTATGTCATGTATATTATAGATTTTCAGTATTGGCAGGAATATCAAAACGCAGCCTTAGATTATGAAAAAGTTATAAAAAAATGATGATGGATCTGTAGAATATTCTCTAGAATATGAAATATCTGTCAGAATATAAATCTTGTAAGTTATTGACTTTTTAATCTTAATATTTGTATATTCAGAATAACTGAGAGGAATTATATCAATTAAAAGAAATATATTTTATTTAAAAATGGAAAAAATCTCAATAATAATTCTATATGTGAATGAATCAATATTGTAATTATGTAATCTTCTGGAAACATTACAATTTTTGTTTTTCTATATCTTTTATGTTTTTGAGAATATTTGCCTGCATTATTTAAAATAGGCTCTGTATATTCATAAATTATATACCTTATTAAATACTTAGAATATAGATATTATAGACATATCTAAAATATCAAAAGTCATCATGTGCATAGTACATATTATGTATATGTATATCATATTTGATATATGAGTACATGCATGCACGCAATATTATATACATAAAAAATAAAAATAACTATGAAGTTTACAGTCCTTATCTCCAATTTCGATAAAATTAGGCTTATTTGACGCATTTTTACATAAAGCGAAAGAATCTGGCAGAAAAAAATGTTGCTCTATCTCGCAACCAAGATATTAGTCGTTAAAATTGACAACTATTCAGATTAGAAAACCTGTTATATTGATGAAATATAGCCATATGTTTATATTCTGTGACTACATATGCATGCGAAATGTACGCAAATTAAAACATATGTATACTTATAATGCATTACTTGGATTTCAATGATAAAAGAATATATCTATCAAATCTTCGCCTTACTAAGCGGATATTATATCAAAAATAATGGATACTAAAAAATTAGCAAGAGGTCTACACAAAAATATATTATGAATCATAAGCAAAATCATTGCAACATGTGTTGCTTTGACAAGAAAGGCTTTTCTTGTTCCTCTTGTTACTCATTTTTAAGTTCCTCGTGCTATTCAAGGATTGCTTTCTATTTTTATAATAGATATTAGCTTTATAATAGGCAAAGAAAAGGGTTCTGCTCCTCTTTTGTATCTCACCGACTGTTTAGTAAGGCAAAGATATAATAAATATATTTTATCATTGAAATTCAAGTGATGCATTATATACGTTTTAAATTTGCGCATTTTTCACATGCACATGTAACCACGGAGCACGATCATGTTGCTACATTTTATCGATATGACAGGTTTCTTTAACTGAATAGTCGTCAACTTTAACAATTAATATCACGGTTCACGAGGCAAAGCGACACTTTTTTCTGTTAGATTCTTTTGTTTCGTGCAAAAATGCGACAAAATCTAATTTTATCAAAATTGAAGATGAGAATTGTAAACTAGAATTACTTATAATTATCAAAATAAGTGTTGAAAAACATTGAAAAATACAGGAGAAATTTTACGGAAAATAAAGTATCAATTCAAAATTTATTTCATAAGACAGTTTAAATTAAGAAAAATTATTATATGTGATGTTCGTGCTTCTAAATACATACTTACATAAAATTTTAGCGAAATCAGTGAGCAATACTCTAAATATAACAGTCATTGAGTTGTTTCATCAAAAAATTTACATTAAATATATGTATTCGTACTTCCATGATAAATTAGTTATAATAATGGCATTGATGAGAACAGTAATAATCGGATGTACAACTGACAATCCTGAGATACAAGCCACTAGTGTGAAGCCAATGACGGTCCCAATCCATTGTTTTACATGAGGTCTTTCTATTTTACGATAAAAAAGTCCAATTGCTACGGAAAATAATAATAGTAGTACATAAATGACATCATTCCACAACATTGTCGTTCGAAGGCAACTAAGTAGAAAAAATTCACTATCAACACACACACGAATAACATATCATCAGAGATAAGCTTGAGCAACTTGAGAGCGGCTATGGTCACTCTTAGCTTAGTGTCGGTCCACAATAGGTGACTTAAGCTTTAAGACGTAAGAAATTGACCAATTATAATCTAATATGAAAAGAATAATCGACTATGATTGGTCAATTTCTTACGGCTTAAAGATTAAATACTTATTGTGGACCGACACTTAGAGACACTATAATAAGGTCACGAAAAAGCAACTTTTGATTGGTCCGCCATGTTTGGCTATTCCCACTTACTTTCAAATATATTAATTACATTAATTAATTTTAAATTGTAATATTATAATTTAAAAACATAAGCATTTTAAAGGTAATAAAATATGTATATTTATAAAATTTTATTTTACATAATTATATTACCAATTTATTAATATATTTATTAATATATCGTATTTATTAATATATTTCCTTTAATATTTATGATTTTAAATTTATTACTATTTATTTATTTATCTTTTTTTTCGCTATTTATCTTTTTCAACACAAAAGCAAAAATTAATATAATACTATTATACTACTGTTATACTATAATATTTTTAACTTTTTGATACACAATTGTCAAAACAATCTTCTGTGAAATCAATACAATGATAGCTATTCACAAAGTTAGTGCAGTGAGAGAACTCATCGCAGAAAAGTGTTAACAATAAACTCCGAGAAAATTTCGAGAGATGCAAATATCGATGTCATGCCTTTTTTAGAAAAAATTATACATATTTATTATACATATTTATTATTAGTATAAACAAACTTTATTACAATATAAAATAAAATTTAAGTAAAAAAATGAATATCCACCCATTTTTTATATTGATTTATCACAATTAATTAATTTATCACTATATTTTACAATTTTAGTATCTCTATTATTTAATAATATATTATCACGCTTTCCACGTGTTAAATACACATGCATAATGCACTTAAATCAATGCACACGCAAAGTAAAAAATATCGCTATTGGTTAGAGTGAGATGGTATATATTTCTTTCACTTTACCAAAACACGTTATTGGTTAGAGTGAGATGGTGTATATTTCTTTCTTTCTCGTAGGATTTAATCAAAACATGGCGGATCAGAGTCGTCGTCAGTCTCTTATTAGTGTCGGTCCACAATAAATATTTAATCTTTAAGTCGTAAGAAATTGACCAATCATAGTCGATTATTCTTTTCATATTCGATTATAATTGGTCAATTTCTTACTTCTTAAAGCTTAAATCACCTATTGTGGACCGAGACTTATAGTGTCTCTAGCTTAACTGTGACTTTAGAGACACTACGAGTGCTTTCTATTTAGTGACACAAGTCGACAAATATCATTCTATCTTTCTTGGCTTTCAATGATTAACAAGGACAAAATGATACTTGTGTCGACTTGTGTCACTAAATATACTTGGATAGCACCCAATAATAAGAGACTGGTCACAAAAAAGCCACTTTGATTGGTCCGCCATCTTTTGGCTATTCCCACTTATTTTCAAATACATTAACTACATTAATCTTAAATTGTAATATCATCGACGAGATGCTATTAAAGATTATTAAAGATGTTTATAAAGATCGACGATTTTACAGGAGTTAGCGGAGCAGGAAAAATTCGCTGTACGCTAACGCCCTCTTAGAAAAGTTGCGGCAGAGGAAATAAAATGAGTAGAAAACAAAATGAGAAACGTACCGATAAAATATTATTAGACTCACAGAACTGAATACATTTCGCTTTCCTTATTCCAAAATGTTATTAGTGGTAGGAAATTTGCACGGCAACAGTAAATAATATAAAAATTGATAAAATAATAATAGTTTACAAGAAAATAAAAATAGATTTAAGTTAAAAAAAATAACTATATAAATTATATATTATATTTATAAATGTCAAAATTATATTAAATAAAAAAGAGAAACATAATAATACTTAAAAACAATACAATTTAAGAACTCCATATAATTAATAAATTAAAATAAAATTAACAGAAAGATAAAAATGAAATAAAATAAAGGAAAATAAAATAAAATAATATATTCCTGTAAGAAAATAAAGGTTTATTTTATTTAAATTTAATTTGTGCTCTTATTTATTGCGCTAATTAGTTCTTTGTTCATTATATTAATTTATATAAGAATACTATTATTAAAAATAATACAAATAAAAATTAGTTGAAAACTGATTTTTATATAATATATATAATATTGTATAATTAATAAGCTCTGGATAATAATACTTTAATTAATTATATTTAATAAACATTCTTTTTATTTTTTAACTTTTCATTTAATATACTTTATGACAAAATTATAAGACCACACATCATCTATTATAGCTGCTTCTAATAATTTAATGTAATACTATTGTACGTTAACTTATATTTTCGTTGAAAATGAGTCAAAAATGAACCGAAACGTTCAAAAATAATTATAATTATATGATTTGAGTAATGTTAATCAACGGACATTTTGTTGTGAAATAAGCGATAAAAATTGATAAAATTTAGAAAATATTTGGTTTTGGTCAAGTCCAAGTGAAATGATGGAAAAGGATAGGATTCGTTTTCAGGTGATGTTGGTCCAGGAAAAGGTGTTAAAAGGTAGCTGTACAAGTCCGTGAAGGAAAACGTTGAAGTGATTTAACTGAAAATAAGAACAGAAAAAAATTATATCTTCTATTCTAATTGCTGTTGAACGAAATATTTAATTTATATCTCCGAAAGAGCGAACTAGCTCCGAAAAGCGTCTCAGTATATCACTAGCACCAATTAATAATTTTCCGTCAATTAAAAATTCTGTCTCAATCACAAACTTTGTAAAACGATCTTAGATAACGGAGAACAATAAACAATAGAACAATTTTTATCGAATACGTAAAACTAATAGTCGACAACGATATTTAAAGAACACGTCTGAAACGCATCGAAACTATAAACAGAAGGAATGTCGAGGAGTAAATAAAATAAAGTGTGTTGCAAAATATATATATGCAATGCAAAGATAAGCGCGCGTCTCTAATTTCTAATTACTTGCTAAATTCGTACTGTCGATAATTGTATTAATTTTGACCAATGTTAAAGAATTATCCTTAAATCTTCAACACATTAAAATTTATTTTTACACGACACAACAGTTTTGACAATCATTGACCTTATATATTATTTTATTATATAATCTCGAAAACGCTATATTTACTTTTATTATTTTATAAAATTATTATCGATTTTGGAAAACTTGCCACAATAGAAAGTCATTTAATTAAACTATAATTCAATATTCACAGTTTTGCAAAAAAGTTGCTGTACACAAAATTTAAAGAAAAATGTTCAACAAATACGATCACAGATATGTAAAATTACTTTTGATGCCATGACAAAATTATAAATCCATATTTTTGATACTCTTTCACATATTATATTTTGTATTTAATGTTTTCTACTCATCGTACGTACAAGTGAACTTAATGAATATGAAAAATAACAACAAAGAAAGTAATAGCTAATTCCTTGACAAACAGGATCTTGCTAAATTTCTATATGAAATTAATTCAATTAATTATATTAGGTGTACAAAAAAGTTCTGAGCTTTTTTTGTAAAATTCAATCTTTATTAAAAAACAAACAAAAAAATATTAATCAGCGAAATATTCCCCGTTTGCATCAACGACCTTTTAACATCTTTCGGGTAGCTTGCGAATTCCTTGACGATAGAAGCTCACTGGCTTCGAAGCGATAAAGTCATCAATGCATTTTCGTATCTCTTCAAAATCTCACGAAATGTGTAAGCCAAATGATCAGCCAAATGATGCTGCAGCGACCGGAATAGGTAGTAATCGGAAGGCGCCATGTCTGGGCTACGCGTGCGGGAGAAGTTCCCAGCCTAACGCAAAGATATGATCCTGAGTCGCTTTCGCAACATGTGGTCGAACATTGTCATGAAGCAAGATCATTTTACAACATCCTTGGCCAGTAAATGGCCTCTTTTCTTCTAATGCATCGCTCAAATTGGTCAATTGTTGTTGGTAGCGGTCTGCCGTGATTGTTTCACCCGGTTGTAACAACTCCTAATACAACACACCTTTTCAGTCCCACCAGATACAGAGCAAAACCTTCTTGGCGTGGATATTAGGCTTTGGCGTCGATGTCGAAGGTTGACCAGGATCAACCCATGATTTTCTACGTTTAGGGTTATCATAAAATCCACTTTTCATCGCCTGTAATGATTTTGTGCAGAAAATCTTTTTTCCGGAACTTTGAAAGTAAAGTGAGTGCAGTGTCACGCCGACGATTTTTGTTGTCTTCAGACAATTCATGCGGATCTCCTTTCCTTCTGAACCTTTCCCATCGTATGTAAACGTATATAATATATAACGTATATAATAACGGAAATGGTTTGCTGTGTAACGCCAAGCTGTTCTGCAAGCTCCTTTTCAGTTTGCGCAGAGTTTATATCCAGCAGTGCTTGCAATTCGTCCGTTTTAATCTTTTGAGGGCATCCAGCACGCGATTCATCTTCAAGACTGAAACCTCCTTGGCGAAATTTTTGATACCATCTTTTACATGTAGTATGACACAGCGTTCTCTCCATATGCAGCACAAATCATTGCAGTGGCTTTAACAGCATTTTTCTTTAGATGAAACGCGAAGTGGATGGAAAATCGAATATACTCTTTTGTTATTGCCATCGTGAACACTACTGATTTTTGAGGTTATGTGCATCAAACGTCAAACCGTATGGCATTTTGGAAGGCCAAATGTCAACGCTTTAAAACCGCAAAAGGGCGGGAAGATATATAAAATTTAAATTGTTATTTCGGTTGTAGGAAATCTAAAGCTCAGAACTTTTTTGTACACCTAATATATCCGTTGGAGATGTATATCCGTTACTTAACATTGTTGATATTTTGGATCAACTAAGCACAAAATTTTTCATTTTACGATTTGACTTCAGATTTTCATCAAATAAAAATGGATCCTATAGAGCCATAAAACGACTTTCACAACTCCGTTTGGACATTATGAATT